ATAAAAGTCATATTCGCAATCCAAATTCAAAGTGAAACAGGCTTGTGGATCAAAATAGGGCTAAACATAAAAACCCCTGTGCTCAAACTCTGTTTCTCTTTTTATCAGAGATTTCTTGGCAGCCTTTAAATGGAGCACACACCTGCTGTAGGTTGTGGGGGTGGGGGAGGGGTTGGGTTGAGTGGTGCCGGGTGCCGATGGACAGACAGCAGGGAACACAAGAAGTCATTGTTGCTCATCCACTCAAGGTCATCAGGACAGGAGTGTGCCAAGCCTGCTCCACAGATACATCATACTCAACTTAAACTGAACCCCAAATACAAAGTAATAAAAAGTTTGTATTTTTAATGTGCATTTTCATGTTCATGTTCCATGTTCTCGTTCTATCTAAATGCTGCAGTGCTGATCCTAACCTAGTCTGGTCCTCAGACGTTCCATCCACACTGGTATACTGTTGGATATAACTGTCTGAAATCTAGTGTATGCTAAGCTGGCCACAGTGAGATTTGTATTCTCTATCTGTGCTGTCATGTTGTCGCCGTGACAACAACAAGTCTTTTGGAGTAAAATATAGACACCAGATTAATAACATCACATTGTTAGAAGTTATTCAACAGTTTTCTTCAAACCATTTAGTCATGGGTTGAAAATACTTGGAAACTGTAAGAGGAATTCCACAGATTTTCGAAATTTATACTTAATTAAAGCACGTAATATCAAAATGTTCATAAGCTAAAAGAGCTAAACACACACGAGCACACACACAGCCATTCATGTCAAAACAGGTACTGACCTGCTACCTGTTATGCCAGGTTTCCCTTTGTTACCTATTAGATCATAACCTGACACTTCATAATGCATACAGTACTGTCAGGGACCACCATTTCCTCTGTTCAATTTTCACTCAAAATGGCCGATAAATACTAGTTATTCATTTTTCAGTGTAAGAAAAACAAATCTCTTTTGTTTAATACAGCACGACACTGACCAGCAGTTCCTTAAATGCCATGTTTTTGTTGAGTAGCACATTAAAAAGTTAAATTAGCAGTCTGGCTTCTCAAGTTCCAAACAACATTGTACATTTGTTGCTGCTAAAACAGACTTTCAGATCCATCAGTTCAACCTGCATTTACAGAACTTGGCTATGGCTCAAAGACTCAAGTTAAGCTGGACAGTTAACCCCAAGTCACTCCAGTTACCCAAAATAAGCGGCTTTAGGCAAATCTTCAACTAAATATCAGCAAAATCTGTGCAGGTTGAACTGACTGCATCACCAAAGCAGCATTTCTTCTTCAGAGCAGAAAACATAAAATACTCACTGAATACCTACAGAGGACCTAGGATGCACAAGCACTTCACTGGAATAAAGAAGAAGCATTCACACCAAAAACTCAAATTAACACTGGCAGCTCAGCATCACTGAAACATTCCTTAACCGTTTCAGCCTTCTGCCCATGATTATGACATAGTCAAATGATCAGTAGGTAGAGCAGGTAAAATTCAGATCTTGCAAAAATGTAGAACAGAGCCTGCAAAAGGACAGTTAAATTATCTGGAGCAAATTTATAAACCTGTCGTATTTTCTTGCAAGCAAGAAGAAGGATTAAAACTGTACACATGTAAAGCTTTGCGCAAAAGTTGGAGGCCACCATTTCATGTAATTCATTTCCAGTCAAAATAGCCATTAAGTTATTTTTCAATATCAGGAAATAAAGCAGGAAACACATATTTAATAGAAAATTACATGGAAGTCTCAAAAAATGCACATAATATGAAAATGTTCAATATTTAGTGTGTCCACTCTTTGAATTTATTACAGCTTGCATTCTTTTCAGGAGACTTGCTTTCAGTTCCTCATTGAAATCTGCAGAGATATTTTTCCAAAGTTCAGTCTTAGAAGTTGGTTGTATTTTCTGCTTCTCACAATCCAAGTAATCCCAAAAACATTCAGTGATGTTGAGGTGTGGATTCTGGGGCGGCCAGTCCATTGTTCTGAGAACACCAGTAGCTTTTTTGTTTGATTTGCAAATTATTTTGTGTCTGTTTTCTTTTTCTTAGTAAAGGCTTCTGGACAGCAACACAACCTTTCAGACCCATAGCATTGTGCTGTCTTCTTACAGTTCAAGGAGGGGGAGCAAGAGTGGAGCTTGATTTTCTCCTCTCTCTCAAAAATGAAGGCTTTGAGTACTGTTTATCTGAAGATGTCAGTTTTGCTGGTCTGCCAGGTCTTGCAAGGTTGTTAGGAGACCCATTTTCTCCTAACTCTTGTTTTTTTTATTTATTTCCCTTTGACTTTTCCCTTTCTCAAGCAAGTGGATTATTTTATATTTGTTTTCTACTTCCCCATGACCCAGATGGATAGGCAGTTTAGAAAATGTGTGTGGTTTTTTTCTATTTTCTATTTATATACATAGTAAATCTGATCTCCTACGTAATACCTCCTACTTAATAGTCATTTTGACTGGAAATTAAATAAATGAATGGGTCTCTGACTTTTGCACTGTACTGCACATTGACAGTGTCTGTCCATTGCGTAGTGTGCAGGCATGTTAAGACATTACCGCACCCAGTCACCATCTAATCCACCACACTCCAATGGTAAAATTTGCTGGGCCCAGACATTACTGTGGACCTCAGGATGTGCGAAATGTATGAACATTTTCAAACAGAGCATAAGAAAGAGTATTTTACCATCCTCCCTTTCTAATTTCCACTCCCCCTTTCTGTTTCTCTCCTCCCGTCTCCCTTCTCCTTCAGCCTGCAGCTCCTGGTGTCAGTGGTGAAAGGAGTGCTGCTGCTGCCTGACGGCGTCTGACACATTTCACAACAGCGATAACAGCCCGCGACATCGTCCTTCAGCTGTCTGAACCCTGCTGATTTCACTGCTGGTTCACGTACCTGCCCAGTCTCCCCCCGATTAGGACCAGAACCAACCAGTAAGCAACTGATATATGTAAGCAGGGTTCCTCTGGATTAGGGCTGTCCAGCTCATCCACATAGATTTCCCTGCTCAAACACATCTAATTCAACTCAGCCAGGGGCGGAGTTTGCATACAACAGAATGTGGCCAAAATTTTGCATTGTGACAAAGTGGAAAAATACAAGCTAGATGCCTCTTAAAGCTGATCTTGGATCTTGGTACAAACAAATAGGCTGACTCTAACTGTTGAATGAAAAAAGAAATGCACTGAATTTGCAGTAGTGTGTAAAAGTCAGAGACCTCTCTTCATTTAATTTCCAGTCAAGATGGTCATTAAGTATGGGTTTTCATTTTTCAATGTCAGGAAAAAAGCAGAAAATGTATATTTAACAGAAATTTACACAGAGGCCTCCATAATTAAATATTATATAATATTTGTCAATATTTAGTGTGTCCATGCTTTAGCTTCATTACAGCTTTCATTCTTTTCAAGAGTCTTGCTTTAATTTCTCAAAGAAATCTGCAGGCATATTTTTCCACACCTCCAATTCAGTCTTAGAAATTGGTTGTATTTTCTGCTTCTCATGATCCAAGTAACTCAAACACATAAAGTGATGTTGAGGTCTGGACTCTGGGTTGGACAGTCCATTGTTCTGAGAACACCTGCAGTTTCTTATTTGATTTGCAAATTTTTTTCTTTTTTGTCTGTTTCCTTTTCTCAGTAAGGGCTTCTTAACAGCTACACACCCTTTCAGATCCGTAGTGTTGAGTTGTTTTCTCACAGTGAAAGGATGGACAAAAACATCTGTGGATTTTTTCAGATCTGAAACAAGAGTGGAGCTTGATTTCCTCTGATTGGGAGAGTTTTGGTGGTCTACCAGGTCTTGCACGGCTGTTACATGTCCCATTTTCTCTATATCATTTTTTAAACTCCTGTTTTTTCACTTATCCTTCTGGAAGTGGATTTACTGGAAATGAAATAAACGCATAGTGGTCTCTGATTTTTGCACAGTACTGTACTTGATTCAAATGTGTGCATCATTTCCATATGAATAAAATATATTGCATCAACACAAATATTACCAGTAGTAAATAAAATGAAAGATCAAATTGTGTTGAAGTAAAATATTTTATTCATGTGGAAATATGTACATATTTTGAATCAAGCTAATTTGGTGCATCACTTTTTGCAGAGTATTCATCATGACAGGTGGTTGCCACGGAATCCTGTGGAGGAGCGCAGACAGTCAAATCTTAAAAAATGAAGAGAAACCAGTTCTCCCTTGACAGTAAAAAGCGCTTAACAACAGCATGAAACAAATGTTTGCGGAAGGAAAGGGGTGGAACACTAGAAAAGGCTATCGAACTCTGCCTCCTAAGCCTCCTACTTCAGCTTGTTATCTCACAGCCAATGTATACTATACAGTGTAACAGTGGTGTTCAGTCCCCTGCCTAGGCAAGCACCCTACACAATACCAATAAGAGTCCTTGGGCAAGACTGCTAACACTACCTACCTCTGTAAAATGATAAAACTGTAAGTCGCACTGGATAAGAGCATCTGCCAAATGCCATTAATGTAAATGTACTTGTTAACATTAACCAGCGGTATACCTATAGCTAGGAAGCTTTCCCATAACAAATGTTGTTTTAGCACGCACTATAGATACCACTCTGCCAGTGCTAGGTTTTTGTGAAACACTGCTACTTAACTCCACAGTTAGTTACCAGGCTTAGTAGCTGTGTATGAGCAAGGAAAGTCACCAAACTGTGCTGGACTCTGACCCTCCAGGACCAGAAGTTGACACCCCTGGAATACATGTTTGCATTTCATAGTAGCCTAGCCCTGTTGCATCTTACCACTCCATCTCTCTGAACTTCAAATTCCATAAGCGATCATCCAGAGACACACTGATATGGCGAATCTCCACAACACTGAAGCACTGTAGTCACTAGTAATGTGTGTCTTATAACTGCAGGTATTAACGACTGATCTGAATAATTTCAGCAGAGGTTTGGACGTGTGCAGAGAGGCCCTGAAGTTGTGATGCATATAAGACGTCCTGGGACGTCCAGCCTTACTTCTCATAGTCATGCTTGCAGTAGAGCAGGCGGTCTCGGCAGTAGCACGTCCCGCTGAGTGTGCTCAGGCACACGGCGCACTTCACACAGGTCTCATGCCAGGACTGGTCATTTACACGCAAGAGGAATCGGTCAGCGATGGGTGACTCGCAGCCTGCGCACACCTCACCTCCGCCCACATGCTCTGAGGAAACACACATATGCACACCGGTTTTGTTAGGACATGGGCCATACATACATTCTGTATGTATTATATAGATGTAAGTAACTATAGTATGGTAAGTAGTCCCATGTACCCATGTATGCATGTACACACACATATATGTGTGTGTGTGTGTATATATATATGTATATATATATATATATATATATATATATATAGACAGTGGCTCCATAAACACTCAGAGAACTGTCTCCATGTTTAAAGAGTTCTTTGCATAGTGAAGTGGTTCTTCAGATTGATGGAGAATGTGTTGTATATGGTTCTACATGGAACCTTTTTAAAAAGGGTTCTACATAACAGCAAAAAGGGTTCTTATTGACGTTGTTACAATAGAAGAACCCTCATGTGTGTGTGTATGTGTGTGTGTATATAAATATGTAGATACATAGATGTAAGTATGTATACATCTATGAATAATTTTGTAGTTCTTTTTTAAATAACAAAATAGGGCCATTTTGCTTCTCTGAAGGTTAGTCCACTTTTTCTCTGCTCTTACAAGAGCTCATCATGATGTTAGTCAGCAAAAACGAAGCAATGTCAAAATCTGCTCTTCAGAGCTGACAGGACATTTTGAAATGTTTATCTATATCTGCATCACGCAGTTTCACCTCTGAATGATGACAGTCAAACTAAGCCTAGTCTACACTAGCTGTGTGTAATTACGAGAATAAGGATTCATCTGGATTATATGAATATACAACATTTCCAGTCTGAAAAGTGTGTCTGAAAAAAAGGTCATATTCTCACCGAAAGGTGTGGTGGATGGAGCCTGTTGAAGACATGACTGGTTTTCCTCTGTTTTCATACCGTTCCTGCCTCTCTCTGAGCGCTGGCTGAATAAAACACAACAGAGCACATTCAATAAAGCAGCTCTCAGTGGAACTAAACGAACATAAAACGTGTTTAAGAGTGAGACCGATTAACGTTATGCCTGATTAATCGACCCACAGGCCTTAAACAAACATTTAAAATGGGACCCGATGTACACAGAGACGTCTGAGTATAAATATATACTTACATTTCCAAAATCCTTTTCACTGGAGTTAGTCGGCTTCGTGACAAAAACGGGGGTAAAACCCTCGTCGACTTTTACACCAGACATTTCACACTTGTAACTGTAACCTTTAACTCTGTACGTTTGAACATTTCGCCCTAAATATGTAAATATAATTTAATTTGTATATATTTAAACATAATTTTGTGTTTATGTGTAGGATATTCGAGTGTAAACTGAGTGTAAGTTTAGCCTCTCAGCCTGCGGCCGTTACTGCGCGAGCAAAAACCGTTAGAATTTGAAAATTTGAAAATCTGATCTGAGCCAGTTACCACCGCGACTGAGCGCGGCGTAGTTAAAGCAGCCCACTTTCACGCGCGCATTAACCAGTTGACTTAAGAATTCCACCGCTGTTTAGTGCTTTTTTTCCCACCCGTTTTCCGACAAGCTCCGCGTCCTGCGCTGTGATTGGTTGGTAGTGTCCTATTGTCTCAGCGAAGATTCGCTAGGGCGTCATAACTGTGCAGCGCTAGCCAATCCAAGCGCAGGAGACGAGACTTGTCGGAAAATAGGTGGAAAAAATACATAAAGTGAACTATTAGCGAACGCTAAGCGAACACAGGCTGGCTGTTTATTTTAAAGACGTCTGACGTCTCTTACTGACGGCTGCTGTTTATCTGTTTTTAAAGCTTTTATGATGAACTTAAACCAGCTGCTCAACAGATGACGGAAAAAGATCCCATCAAAAGATCCTAAAGGATTATTACCTTACAATTTACCGCTGCTAGGTAATAATAATAATAATAATAATAATAATAATAATAATAATCATAATAATAATCATAATAATAAATACAAACATTTTAATTCTTTTCTTACAGTGTATCGACCCACTGTCTGTGAGAGTATACTATTAGAATTGTAATTGTATTAGAAATAAATGTTAAAAAAGAATGATATTAATATAAAATATTTAATAATAATATATTCAAAACTTATTGAAAAAGATCATCCACATTATGTGTGTAAGACCATAAAAACACAAAATAACATGGAATATTGCAATTACATATTTATACATTTTAAATTTAAAATCACTCCAGCATCTGTTCAATTAATAAACAAATCTATAAAGAAAATACAGAAGTAAAAAAATAAAAAAAACCTGTCTTTTTAAGTGCTTCATGTATATGATATTATACACATGATACGTGCTGTTTAGTATGAGCTTTATTTGGATACGATAAATGGAGCCAAACCTTCTTTATAATAATGCGTTTACACAGAAACCAATGTGTTATTATTATTATTATTATTATTATTATTATTATTATCCTAATTTTTTGTCGTGTATTAAAATCTTAAAATTAAAATGCAGTTTTTTAGTATTCATTTCGTTTATTAGGCGGATTGTAAGATTTATTTCCCGGTTTCCCGATCTGGTAATCTACAGTCACATAATCTAGTAAAGTAAATTTATTTTAAAAGTATTTTCTAAGACGTGCATATCCAACTTTATAATATACATTTATTATTATTATTATTATTATTATTATTATTATTATTATTATTATTATTAGTGTTTAATCCTGCTCGTGCGCGGATGCTGAAGCGCTCCGGCTGTAATAGAGAAGCTAAATCTGCTGAACTGTAAGCACTTTAACTTGTTCATGGTTTAGTATCTGTGTGTAAATTAGTGTCTTACAGATTCTTGTTTTCTGATCTGAGTGGCTGAGAAGGGAAAGATGATCTGTACACATTAGAGCCGCTTCAGTTTGGCGAAATATGATTATAAAATTAATAATCATCGCTTGTCTTAAAAAGCGTGTAAAAAGGCTTTAATCCTCATGGGCGGACTTTCTGCGGGTGGGCAGTAAATGATCAAATTGGAGGCAGAGGTGATTAAGAGGCGTGACTCCTCCGTTTTCTTTCTGTTAGATCAGTTATTTGATTTTATAAAGGCTGAGTGTAAAAAAGTAAGATACGTACAAAATTAGCGACACATTTTTATTTGTTTTTGGTGTCTCAATATGCAATAAACGATGTCTTGCCGTCATCAGTTTCTTTGTGACTGGAAGTGACTGAATTCATCTCATTTTTGATCAAAGCGACTTGACTTTTTATCTCCACGGATTGCAGACTGATTTAAACAGCAGCTCTGAATTGTTATAAGCACATTTCAGTCAGCATTTTAAGGACAGGCTCAGAAAAATAGGCTTAGATTTTCTGATTCAATGCTGAATCAATAAACAGCCACATAAACTGCCATTTGAAAAGCAACGTCCAAAAGTTTGTAGACACTTACTTCTGAAATGAAGGATATTAATTGGGGGTTTACCCCCCTTTTGCTGCAGTAACAGCCTCTACTCCTCTGGAAAGGCTTTACACTAGATGTTGGAACATTGCTGTGAGGATTTGACTGCATTAAGCCACAAGAGCATTAGTGAGGTCAGCTAATGATGATGTATGGTCAGTTCTATATCACCCCAACTCATCCCAGAGATATTGGATGGAGCTCCATCACCCAATGGAATGCGTTCCACTGCTCCACAGTCCAGTGCTTTATATGGGGGGCTTCATACCCCTCTAGCTGACAGCATTGGTGACCTTAGGCTGCTCCAGAGTGTCCCATTCTATTGGTGCACCTTTATGGAGCTGAGTTGTGTGCAGTTGAGCACCTGTATCAGCAATGTGTGCACCTGAAAGTAGCTGAATTCACTACATAGAAAGACTGTCTGGATACTTTTGGACATAAAATGTATGAAAATCAGTTCAAGTGCACTGCGTACCTGTCCATGTGACGAAAAGAATGGCACTTACCTCACGGTGAAACACAAGCCTCCTGAGATTTCTGTAGGTAACATGAAAAACCTTCAGAGTTATTAAATCCCAGACTGGACACAGGACCACCGAAACATCGCCCACTTTGCTGTAAAGTCCAGTGGAGATATGACCGGGCTGGGAGAAGCTGAGCTGACTGAAGAGCAAGACTGAAAGGCAGACACACAAAGCCAGAGAGGGAGGGGAAAAGAGGAGGGCGGAGGAGGAGGGGGAGAGAGAAGGCAGAAATGTGGTCCTCTCCTTCAATCTTATTCTCTCCTCTCTTTCTCTCTCCTTTTTATACTGAGTGGTCTCTGATCCAAACAGACAAAATGTCTTATGTATCTCTTTGTGAACTGACCAATAGCTGGCCATGACCTTGAACCGGCCACACGCATTAAATTAGATTTAATATATTTGTCTGTTTGTGATTACAGCTTCAATTGTGAATTCCATATTTATAATTTAGTCTTAAGCTCATCATTAAAATAACACATTTCATCTTGTTTTCCCAATATTTTTGTTTCTCACAGTTCATGTAGGATATTTTTTAAATAATAGTTGAGCCTTAATAACTAGAGAATGCAAGTATAAGATATAAGCATAGATAGAATTTGCCAGCTCCAAGGATGCAGGATGTACAGTGGTTTAGGGGGCTGTGTCACCCCCAATTTCTGAACTATTAACTTAACAATTGAAAAATAATAACAAAAGAACTGAACTTTGAAACAATTTAAGAATAGTAAAGGCCAATAAGTGCTTGTTTTAGGTGTTTGTATTTTTATTTTACGTTTTATGTAAATGTTTTCTAATTCTGCATTCGAATCGCCTTCCTTGACAAATCCTGGCCACTTCTGGAGGCAAGTACCAGTTAAAATTTCAGCAACCCTAACTTAAAACACCTTGACCTGCTCTGTAGGAGCTGTGGTTATTGCTATAAGAATGTCAGTGTAGACTTCATTAGCCGCATGATGGCTAAATAAACCAGCCCTCTTTTAGTGCTTGGACCCCTTGACATTGCACCAACAGTAACAAAGAAAGATTTCCATTTACACTGGATGCAAAAATAGTACCTATAGACAATAATTAGGCCATTATTAAAGCACATATTTATTTGGTTTAGGACCAAACGGTAAGTCATTAATTGGGGCAGCTGTTAAAGGTGACTGGCTTTGGTTGTAAAAAAAAAAACACTACCGTTACAGATAAGTGCGGAATGTGTACATGTAACATAATATCCATTCATAAACTCACAGTCCTGGGGTGGCTGTGGCTGTGCTAACAAATCCTGATGACTACTTCAGAAGATGGTACATGTATGTAATTTCTGATAATAAGTCATGTTTTTAACACGGCTAAAACATAAAGTCAACCTGCAATCAAAAGACATTCTTTATTTTGTTAATTTATGCCAACTGGTAATATTAAGCGCGATTCATGATCATATCATTTGAATTCCACGCTGTTGGACTAGTAGAGGATTATCTTGTCTTAAAAGACAAAATTCCTGTTTTCCCATTAGTTTTGATTGTGTAAAAAGTGTGCTCACTTTTGACCACCTTTAAAGCATCTTCTAATGTGTCACAGTACAGAAAGAAATGAGAGATGATTTCTCACTTATTTTGACTTTAAAGCCACAGTTTGTATTTCTCAATTTTCCCTTAACCTACAAAGAGTCAATCAGACATGTTCAAAGTCCTTACTTAGTGCTTAACATACTGTTATCTATTAAAGTGAAACGTGAGATTACGTAGCAAGTGGTTTAAGGCAAAGATGTGGTGATTTAGGGATGCACAATGCTAACTGGTGCAAAACTAAGGAAGCAACTGTCTGGGTTGATCAGTTACATTTGGGGTAAGTGTGAGTTTTTTCACCCAAACTACCCCTTTAATGTCTGCACCACTAATTTGAAATTCATGACAGATCAGGCTCCAGCATCTTCACTCTCTTCTCAGTTTGGTATCACATGCGCCCTCTTGTGGTGAAACCTGCCCTTGTTCTTTTTCTTTAGCACCTCTAGAAACAAGTGTAATGCAAGGTGAAGCTCTGCTGGGCACAATTATGTTGCTGATCAGTTTGGTAAATTGTTTATGAAAGGAAACAACACAACAAATTATGTGAGGTTAAAAAAAACACACTTTATATTTGTTTTTTTTCTGTTTAAATACAATTCCATCTGAAATTAACTCTCAGAAAAAACAATATAAAACAATTACATTCTATATCCCCCCCATCATGTCAAGAACAATTTGTTTTCATAAAATGTCTATATGGTGTTTAATAGAACCATGCCTCAACATACTGTAACTAAATGAGAATGAGTGTGTGTGTGTGTGTGTGTGTGTGTGTGTGTGTGTGTGCGTGTATCTGTAAAACACTTCAGCTATGCTTGTACCTAAAATAATTCCAATCCACAGTCAGAGCCTACAATGTACTTCAAACTGCAATTTAACACACTAAATAATTAACATCACCTAAGTGTCAGGAAGAACGCTCAGCTGAGCACATTGTCTGAAGAATAATTTTCCAGTTAATAGTTCTGAATCATAATCCAGTCTGTGAGAATGTTTAAAGGAGTAGTCCAGCGAAAATTCAAATTGAAATAGTTTCCCCTTCACGCTAAATATAGTTGATCAGCCAAGAAAAGTCTGGTGTTCAAAAGTTTCCTTTTTTAGTTCTGCACGAAAGTATGAACAAAATTTAGACTTTAAGATGATTACGACTGTATTCATCCATGCTACAGGCTTATTACCATTTTTATAGTGATAGAAACCAAATGAGCAAGTTTTTTTGAGATTACATAATTATCTTAATTGCCTTAATTAAATTGTTAAGATGTAAACAAAGTCATGCACAGTGGTTTTGTGTAAAATGCTCTATTCTATAAGAACTTGCTGATCAAAATTGTTCACAGTGGTGGTGATAGGAACCAGGAAAGCACTTTTTAAATCCATGCATGGTGGAGAGGTATATGCAAGCAATGTGTGAAATACCCCTTGTTATTCAGGGGGTCCCATGTTAGCTGGCTGCTAACTCACTTGCCTTAGCAGCGCTGATGCTAGCTTCAATGGCAACAAAATGTTTGGTTTAACAATTCCTATTTCGTAAACGCTTTTCTAGTTTGGTCATGAAGCCTCCCACACATTAATTGAGATCTAACACATCTCCTCTTCTGTCTTTAGTTTGAGGAATGAGTAACAGTTTCCACCAGTCTCTTGAGAAATTGGGCACATTTTCAGCTTTACAAATATGCTATGGCATATTACATTTTTCAGCAGTACCCAGGCCTTAGTTAGAGTCTCTAGGCTATGAAGAACCAACTGGGTGAGCCAGTTTGCTACAGCGCCTCCCTGAGCCAGACCAGTGCTGCATCTCTAGATAGTTAAAAATACCAAAAATAGGCCTACCTCGTTGTTTCATGGTTTAAGCAGCTACACAATGACCTTTCCTTGAATTTGAATCTGGGTGTCTATTTTAGCCTAATGAACAGCATAACGTCATAGTAAGTTTTTTTAACGTCATAGTAAGAATTTAGATTTTGAGGTATTCAGGGAGTCCAAGAGGTTAATTAGGGTTTCCCAGACCCCCCCATATTTCATACCTTTATCAACAATATCAACACATAAAACTCAGAAGATGTGTAGGTGGTTTACTGGTCATTTTAAGTAGTAATCAAAATTCATTTGCATTTCAAAGCAAAACTGAACTACTTTGTTTACATCCCAAAATTTTGAAAAATTGGCGGAATTCCCCTTTAACAGTTTAAAATGGATTGAGATAAACGTGCAATGATTTAGACATGGTGTGCATGATACTAATTGGCAGTGTATAAATTTCTCTTATTTCTAAGCTCCATGAGCCTCATACCTCACTTAAAGACATTTAATTCGGACACCAGACATGTTTTGGCTAACTGAGCACATTTGGGGCAAAAGGGAAAATGTAGTAAATTTGATTTTTCTGCTCCTTTAGCGAGCACTACCAGCATATGCCCTCTCAGATCTTTCTCCACTCAGTCTCACACAAAATGAAGCTGCTCCCCTTTCCTTGAGTTACTGCGTCTTAGCTTTAGCCCAGACAGAATCTTCTGGGCGGTCCTCTCCTCTGCTGGGTGTCTCCTGAGTGATCGGGTCAGTCCGTTGTTGGACTGGTTGCTGTTCTGATAAAGCAGGAGGCCTGCTTTCTCCTTTGTCTCCGTCCTGACGAAGGGGCTGGATTTAGGGTTGGATGTAGCTGCTGCCGAAATGTTCAATCGTGTCCCTCGTTCAGACTCACAGGGCGGAGACTGAGTGGCAGAGGTGTGTCCAGCCATGCCGAATGGACTGGTGGAGTCTGAGGCGTGTTTTTGCTGTGGGGTCTGAGAGTGCACACATGTCGCTGGAGGGGCGTGCCTCTGGGGCTTCACAGGCTGCCTGCTCAAGTGAGCCCTCACCTGAGTCCCTGAGTGAGGATCTACACGTCCCTCTGAGTGACCTCGCGGAGCGTCCAGTGCACTCCTCATAGCCAGGACTGACCGAGAGAGAGAGAGAGAGAGAGAAATTAGACAGTTATAACTGCACTGAAAATGATGCACTGAATTTATCTGATTCAAATGTGTACAACATTTTGACATGAATAAAATGTTTTATTGCAGTTATTACCCAAATTATGGAAAATTGGGTTATAATATAATTTATTCACATGGAGGTGAATGGCATATCTAAATCAACAAATTCTGTATGTTTAATAAATATTCAGGTATTATATTGTATTTAATATATAGACTTATAACCATTATATTCAAACAAAGAGTTCAGTAATAGGACAATTGGCTACATTCACTCTGCATTTTGATTCTGTATGCAACATCATAAACATGATATTTGAACTTCTTAAGACCTTTATGTGGACCCACACTTCAAATCAAAATATGCATATCCAAACTTACAAAAGCACCCCTGGTCAGATTACATATTTTGTTGATTTTCTATGTGAAAATAAGTTTACACATTCTCTACAGAGAACACACTTAAGCATGGCATTTTCTTGCAAATTTTAGTGCACAATTTCTATTTATTTACTAAATTTAACATACTGTAAAAGTAAAACATTAAATATAAAATATAGCATACTATTTGCACAAGCTGCATTTAATTTTAACATGTTAAAGTCAACAAATAAACAGTAATTCCATACTAAAATGTGCAGAAGTGTAAACTCTGTAGACTCTGTTACACTGTTAGAAATAAAGGTTCTGTGCAGGTACATTTTTCCTTATCAAGGTACAAACAATGTAAATGTTCCCTCAAAGGTACAACAGTGGTTTTAAGGTCCAACTGTAAACCTTAAAGAAGCTTTTCCCTGTGAAAAATGTAAAACATTTGTACCGTTTCATAACCTGATGTTTTAAAACAGAACAATAAAATAAAAAGCCTGGAGATGAGACGGGGTGTGTGGAGTCAATACAACTTAGAAAATATAATTTCAATGGATTACGGGACAATTATGTTCCTTGACTAAAGGTACTGAGATGTGCCCTTGAGTGTACCACCCCAGTGACAAGAAGGGTACTGCCCTAGTGACAGTTTCAGGCCTTTATTGCTTAGAGTGTAACTTATTTTTACTTAGAAAATCAACAGAATATGTCATTTGACCAAGGGTGCCCAAACTTTTGCATACGACTGTATATTACAGATTAGTTTCCTCTCAGTTAGTGAATAATAAGTGTTAAGATCACAAGATGCAGGTTAGGGGTTAAAGATCAAGAAATGTCTGTTGTTGATGGATGAAGAAGGAAGATCAGTTTTCTGCATGAAGAAATGTAAAGGGGAATTCCACCATTTTTTAAAATCTACATAATTAAATGGGTAAGATGTAAACAAAGTCATTCATAGTGGTTTGACATGAAATCCACTGTTCTAGAGAAACTTGATCACAGTGGTGGTGATAGGAACCAGACGTCCAAAGCATTCAATGTCTCTAAAAGCTACATCACAGAGAGATTTAAAAATACATTCTTATACATACCCTGACTGATGCCTGAGACATTTTTTTTTCTGATTGCTTTGCAATAAGTTTTCTGACTAAAACATATTATTTAAAATCCATTCATTGTGGAAAAGGCCCCATATCGTGGGGGGTAACGTGAGGGGGGCAATGTCTTCTCTGCTGGAATACTGTGCCCTAACTGTGTTACATTCTTTTCTTGTTCTGCAAGCCAACCTTCAAACTGCACTCGCTAGTAGACTTTTCAGTCAATATTGCTCGACACGAGTCAAACAGACCTACTGTTCTCAGTCTGGTTCATTTTCTGAGACGTATGGAACACTTTCCATCTCAACTCGATGTTAAATATCTAATTTACACCATTCCAACAAGAATGTAAACCTATATCACTCCCAATGAACAGCAGTGAAATAAACTGTGAAAGAAAAGTTACATTTTCCACATGAAAAAGAGCTTTGGCTTCATTTGGATCCATCAGTCATACATTCTCATCGTTGCCACATTGTAATAAACACATTGCTTATCATGAGATATTTTTTTCTGTTAAGAGTTTAACCCTAGCATGCTGTCTGCATTATATGAAGCAGGCTATTCGATGACAAGATCTGTTTACTATCAAATTTTATTACTAAACAATAGTCGTTTATAACCATTTATCATGTTTACTGTTACATACTGCCAGGATTTCACAATATTCAACACTAATGTTACAGATTCATACGTTTTCATAATTTCATTGTGAAATCAACTCAAATTATTTTCTGTAATAACACAGAAAAAATACTGTGAGATTAACATTGAGCTGCACAGCATTATGGGACGTGACAGCAACTGAGAGTTTAAAAATGTGTAAACGTTTTAATAAAATATTTTAAGTGTTTTTATTCTGTTGATTCAGGTTTTGGTGTTTTAAAGACTTTTGCAGTCATTTTTCTATCAATGTTAAAACACAGATGTTGCTTACTGGTATTGGCAGACATATGTTTTTGGTCATGTTTGTGTAAATTACCAGCAGTAACTGTCTGTAAACTGTGTATGTGCATTTTAAAATGTATACTGGGCACATACACTACAAAACATGGTGAATAAATATGTTCATTAACATTGTTTTCAATTTTATTTTTGTTAGTCCTTTACTTTATTTCAAAAACATATTTATGTGTCTGTGTCTATGTAAATTTACAGTAAATTTCTGTCTACTGAGTTAGGTTACTTTTACAGCTGTTATGTAAAAGTACAGAATGTTCATTGTACAGTATGAATGGTACAGTAAACTATTGGAAAAGCATTTTTTTCTATGAATTTACTGAAATTGTATAGTAATTTTTTACCCTTATATCACAAATTTCACTAGCCATTCATTAGGTGTCCCCTCTGTGTTTTATTTTGTCCCCTCAACTAACTATTCCTGCTGCCAGGTCTGTGGCAGAGAGGTACATGCAGGGTGTGTAAGGAAAAATAATACCCAAAAACACTATTTTTGGATTGATCCCTATTACATATAAAAACTCACTGGTTACTGGTCATTTTAGATAATAAATAAAATGGCTGTATTTGCACTGAAGATATCATGACCCCTGGTTCCTATCACCACCACTGTAAGGAAATCAATGCTAGTAACTTCCCATCAAAATACCCTGTATGACTTTGTTGACATCCCAACCACTGAATTATGCAGAAATTTTGAAAAATCAGTGAAATTCCCTTTTAAGCAGGAGATTAGGCAGAAATGCTCAGAATTTCTGGCAACCACACAAAACATATGAAGCAAAAGCGTTTAGGCAAGCATTCAGCTGCAATTTAAGTCTTCAGCTCCTAACCAGTAATAACCATCTTTCCTAAGCAACTACTGCCTACCTGCTCTCTCATTGGCTTCAGGGCTCAGCTGGTCCACTGCCTCATTGGATGATGACTTGTCAGAAATATAACCCTCGCTTGAGTCTCTCTTGAGTGTGCGACTCTGTTAAAATGATTTTGAAATAATACAAACTCTGAATACAACGGCTACTACTACAGAGCTAAGTGGCTAAGTGGATGGGGTAAGGGAACAAAAATTGAAACGAAAGAACTGAATTAAATGTTTCTATTTTAAAGAATGTTATTGTAGCAGTCACCAAAAACTGACATATTCAATACTGATTTTTTACTGTGACTGTGTGAAGACCTAATCGGAAATAAGATTTCAGGAAAGCATGATTTCTTTGGATAACACTAATCTCAAATTTTCAGATGCTTAAATGCTCCTTAAACATGTGTAGAGGGCAAAACATTATAATGCTATTGTCTATCCTCTCCACAGCACTACACAGCTCAATGTTGTCTGACACATGAGGTTCAGTGTATCAGTTAAAGCAACACTATGTAAGATTTGGGGATTTGGTGGAAATGTGTAATTGCATGCAACATGCAATGGAACAATTTGTAGTCAGTTGTGTTTCAGACCCCATCCCAGAGCAGATGAATCTGATGATTGTGTGCACACCAGAAGAGTATTCAAAGAGAACGTGTCTTCTGAGGATATAAGTGAATTGTCTACTATTGTCATCATATCCTCTTCAGTATAACATTGATTTTGCCAGAACTTGCCTAAAAGTAATGACCTAAACTTTGAGCCAACCTTCTTTTTTAGCCTGTGCTTGTGATGTTAACATGTAAAAATGTATGACGTGGTCCAATGCCTCTGACTTTTAATTTTTTTTTTTCCGCTTTACAGGGTGACAGCAGTCCATGCACACAATATTTTAATGTATTTTTCATCCGGACTTTGAAATGCTACTTTTTTCAGTCTTAACAAAAAAAACTTATATAGTGCAGCTTTAACTATCAAGTCCCTTGTGATTCCAATCAGATGTGTTAGGGCTGTTTTCCCAATCCAGACCTCAGAAACACTCAGTGGTCCTCATTTGTACTCTATTCCAGCATCATAGATGCCTGAACCAAGCCAGCAACAGGGTTTAAAACATGGTACGGTGCATACAGATACAGCAAAAATTTCTGGTCGTCCCCTAAAACTGGACTAGGAAACAGTATGTTAGAACAGTAAGAACACTAAACAGTGCACTGCAGATTATAAACTCTTGGCGCAGCCTGAGCTTAGAGCAAATAGCAGCAGCAGCAGCAGCACCTGGAGTTAAGTAAAAGTAACAAACACATATGGACAAGTGTGGTAATCCTGACAGATTAAGCATTTAATCTCTCCAGGTTTCCCCATGCCCAGGCAAGTACGCTTAGGTGACAGGTAGCAAAAGAGAGAGAAAAAAAGAGCTCAGCTTCATCACCCAGACAGCACCAGGGTAATCCATCCCCACTACTATAATCCCAAAAGGCCAGAACACAGAGACTCTCCATTTTCTTTAGTCAAAGTTTGGTAACCTTGGCGAGGAATTAACTGTTTGCAAAAGAATGACTGACACACTTCTCAGCAAATCACAGCCATCTTTGTGTGCTACCTCCTCTGCCGTGTGAAGTAAAAACTTAAAAAGAGGCCCTCAGAGTAAATATGCAGTGAGAACAGTGCTGGTAGTAAATTAGTCAGAATTATTAGACTAACAGAGGTTTCCTGTCTGAAGTTGGAAGAGGGTAGCATACCTATGTTTCCTATGTCATATGTCCCCTCAGCTCCTTATATGATACATCATACCTCCATATGATATATTGAGGAAATTATAAGGAACATTCTATCAAATTTGCTCAAACTGTGGTCTCACAGTAAAAAAAACAATAACTAAATTTCAGACTTTAGATAAGTATAAAAATAATGTTATGACCTGTTTAAACTAAGGCATTTATTGAGATACTACTAAGCTAAATATATATATATGACAAACCATCTATAGGGTACTTTTTAGGGCATAAGGTCACTGAAAGCAAAAGGATGTTACTCTACAGTCCAAGTCAATTGAAAGCCTGAATTTGAACCACTTAGGTAGAATTGGTCCATAGAAGGGTTGCTAAGGTCATCATTAGGGTCCTGGGGCCACCAGAGGTGATACAGAAAACAAAAAGAAGGGGGTTTTTCAATAGAAATGTGTGTCCCCTCAGCCAGGCTAGCCTTACTGAGCTAATTAGCTATTTAAGCAAATTTATTAATGCAAATTCTTTTTTTTATAAGTCAGAGCTTAGATTACTTTTTGAATAATTGTATTAATTGCATTTACATTTCCCTTATTTTTTATAAGGGAAATGTAAGCTATCTTTATCTAGGTTACTTGCTAACACTGACTTTAATGTCATTTTTAATGACATAAATTGATAAAGGAATGCTTGATAAATCAGTCAGATCAAATAAGACTTTGAATAAGACACTCATATTTGTGAGTGACACATTAAAGTTTTCTAAACGTCCTTGTGAAAAAGACCTGAGTCCTTCTCAGCATATAACACTGCCCTGACTAGCTCCAGTGTAAATTTAGTGTTAGCTGTAGCATTAGTTCATCTGAAGGGACAGCTGCCAATGCTGAAACATCGTCCTTATTAGACATGAAAACCTACTGCTTTAACTTTCAGTGCCAAAGATTTATCCTGGTTTGATTAATTGAAAAAAAAAAAAACAGTGTCCAGAATCCTTTATATTGGGCAGTATTCATATTGTAAATTTTCAAATAAGTATGTATGCACTGAACATCTTATTAAGCCAGTTTACTTTTGAATAATAAATAATGTTTTCACATGTACTCCTCTGTGTTCTTCTATGGATCTTTAAATACTCACAAATAATGTTTTCAAATGCATTCTGCTGAGTTCTTCTATGTATGCCTTTTGAATAATAATAATTAAAAATGTTTTCCTCTCTGTGTTTCTACATTTTCCTTTGTGCTGCAGAAGTTTTCAGTCTGTTAGCGCAAGTGCTACATATGGTACTAGATAGCCTGAGCTAAAAGTTTGATGGACATAGAAACAGTAACTAAGGGAGGTGGTACTTGTCAGAGATTTGAAAATGGTCAGTTCATGCAAAGGAGAAAAACATGCTCTTTTTCTGCGGTGAATTGTGGCTGCATGCTATATTGACTATTAACCTTTATCGTGATATATGGATAATACCAATATCACAGAAGGCAGAATAAGCACATTAATAAATCACTGAATTATTTTGTGTGCACTCACGCAACGTTTGGTATTGCATTTATTTTATTTAAATGTTTCCATGTGAATATAGTTATTACCCAAAGTAAATAAACTGTATGATAATATACAGAGGACATATAGTTGCCTTTAGTAGGTTTACAGTTAATGACTGTAGCCCACCTGTTGCTGCACTGTTTATCAGCAGGCTAGAGGATGACTGACACATGGAAAAAGAGGAGTTACAGTCTCTATTTGTAGGCCTACAAAGTGTCTAATAAGGTGGGCAGTAAGTGTACACAGTGTTTAAAAACCCTAGCAATGCCGCGGTAACTAATACTAGCACCACAAAATGCCATGCCACTTCTTCACTGTAAATCTACATGGTAGGTGTATCACAAGTATTTCATGTAGGGTTTCTGTTGTTTTGTGCACCTCCTGTATATGCAATAATGCAGAAATTGCACGTTTAATTGACTATTTTCAGTATAATGTGGAGCCCCACAGTGAACCGAGACATTGTACAAAGCTATGTATGATCAGAACCCAACTCCTGTGAAGGATGTTTCCTACCTCTAGGGAGCGTGGCCGTTCTCTGTTGGAAGCTCCAGATCCCTCATGTGACTCAGATCCCTCCGGTGCAGCAGGGCAGGAGGCCCTCGGTGGGGTGTCTGGGAGTGGGGCAGTGGGTACAGGTGGAGGGGGAGTGCAGGATCTTGGTGCAGGACCAAAAATATGGTCGTGGTTGTTGATCATGAACTCCACCAGCAGAGCCTGGTAGCTGCTTTCCAGAAGTGCAATCATGGACACGTCCCCTGACACCAGGGGACGCAGGAGAGTGGGACCAAACACAATGCCCAGATTCCCAGCAGACATCTTATTCTCTTCATAACACTCAGATATCCTGCAAAAAAGAAGAGAAGAGCATAACTGACTTCATTCAAGTTTGAAAAAAATTCAAACAGTCCTGGCATTACAATATGACATTGAGTGAAACTGTGCAGTCTAATGATTGTTAAGTAGATAAAAGGGATTGAGAAATGCAGGTACAAGAAGAAATTCACCTGCATCAATTTCTAATGATCAGAATATTAGAACTCGGACGTCACACAGTGTTACTGACAACAAAGGACTTTTATTCTGACATCCTTCAGGAAAAAATGGACAAGGCTTTGAACCACAAAGAAGATCTCAAATGAGCTTCATGGTGCATAGCAAAAGCCAGTAACTCTACCACAAATACTGGAAAAGTTGTCATTTTTGAGTCATGTTTAGGCTGGTTCAGATTGCCAAGTCAAATGGCGTGACCCTAGGAAAACAGTTATTATTAATATTATAATAACGTGCATCTATTTGAAAAAATGTATGTATAAACTTGAGTTCAAGGACAAAGGTTTGACAAGGCTGCTTTCAGCCCCAACAAAACATAGCAAAACATTTATCTAAACAGAAACAGTGGTGTGTTGAACACTGTTGTGCTACGCAAGTATTGCAACTATGCCAGCAGAGAAAGCCATTCTTGGCGTTCTTTTTGAAGAATTTTAGAGCCTGATGAGATGGGTGTAAATCCATGTTTAATACCTCAAAATATATCTTTCAACATCTTCAGCTGTTGGTTACACCGAGCTGCAGCAGATGCATTTGTAGAGGACTTTACTAGAATCCATTGTGTGCACTGCCTTTTTAATGTGGTGCAGTTTATCTACACATTGTTGCTGATTAGGTAACACCTCTGACACACCCATCAAGAGAGAGTACCTCAAAACCCCTTGCACGCTATTTCGACAAAACATGTTGTTCAACCCGGAAACTGTAGCAAAAAATGGAATGTGCCAGGTGTCCATGTACAAAGACTAGTTTACACATTTTCAGTAGTTGTAACTTTGTTGAAAGATATTAAAAAAAATAATATGTTTTATCAACATGTGGCTGCACCACCTGACATTTTCTGGGCAGTACATTTGATGGTACCATTGTAAAGATCATTAAACAAATATCAATACAGTAGATGCACATCGTATCCTTTTAAATTAGATTTTTTTTCTTTTTAAAAGCCTTATTTGTCAGTGACACGTGACAAGGTCGCTTAAAGAATTAGAGTTTTAAGTCATAAATCTTAAAAGGGAAGAAATTAAGGCAAAAAATACAATATGTGTGTTCCTCAATTAACATCTTTCATAGGTATAATGGGTCTTTCATTGTGGTAGTCTCTAACCTGTGCAGGTGAGTCATCATGTGCTGCAGTGTGCTGTAATTGTAGGGGGGCAGTCGCCTCAAAACCTGTTTGAGATTAGTTACTATGCTCTCCACTATCTGTGTTGTATCGGCTGCATGGTCCTTCTCACTGAGCCGCTGAATCTCCTTCCCAATGTTGATGAAGTCATTGTAAAGGTCAAAGGTCAGTAAAGGCTCAGGAAGCTGTAGAAGAGAAAGAGACATTGTAGTTTATATGTACACACTTTGATTTTTGATTCATTGTCCAATTTGTTTTGTTTTTAATAGAATATGTAAAACTGTTACAAAATGTCTACATACATCTTTGAAAAAGTACTTGAGGACAGAGGTGATGTCATGGGGTGAGAGGTCAGAAAGGTCAACTTGGTCTTTTTGGGTTTCGAAGGCATGACACAGCTTCACTATCCGAGGTTTGGACCCACTTACCCGATAGACCCCCTAAAAGAGCAAGAGAGACAAAGTAGATTTAGAGAAAATGCTCAACATACAAAAATAGACATCTTTCTTCTGGCTTCTATTCTTATTTTTGGACTGCAACCACAGCCGACATGACTACAGTGCCATAAATAGCAAGATACAGCTCAGTTAATTTATATCTACTGTGCTACCTGAAACTCAGAGTTAATTAATTCAGAGTCAAAGTTTGGCTGTGGTGCAGTTTCTGTTCTCAGTTTCACACAGTGACGCCAATTCGTCTAGTGCAGGGGTCTCAAAGTATAGGCCTGCTCCCTGCAGAACACACACATACACACACAATCTAAGCTACTTATCCTCCTCATATCCCACCTGTCATTGGGCGGAAGGCAGGAAGCACCTTGGACAGGGTGCCAGTCCATCACAGGGCAGACACACAGACATACACATTCCCACACACACTCACACCTAGGGGCAATTTAGCATTTCCAATTCACCTGATTGCATGTCTTTGGACTGGGTGAGGAAACCGGAGCACCTGGAGGAAACCCACACAGACACAGGGAGAACATGCAAACTCCACACAGAAAGGACCCCAGTCACCCAGCTGGGGAATCGAACCCAGGCCCTTCTTCTAAATATAAATCCAGTATTGTTACTAACTGCTGTTTTTGCGATAGCCAACCTAAAACAGTTATCCTTCTCTTCTGGCACTGCTTATATTCTAGAAGACTGTAGCGAAACATATCTAGATTAATGCCTATTCTGGAAAGATACAGTGCTTGGGTCCTTTGATTATGACAAAGCCAGAGAACAACATTATTACTTAATAAATTTAGTATTATTTATAACTGAATTTTACAGTCATATAAGGCTTCACAGACAGTCTTTGTAAAGGAATTTTCAGCAGTGTCTGAAGCTTATTAGTTTATCGGACAATAGAAAAGCTGTGAAAACTTTGACTACTTGTATCACTCTTGGTATTTATTTTTTTTCTTCATATTCTTGATACCTCTTACCTTTTTTCTCTTCAAAAATCTAATGCTGCATGAAAGCTTCACTAACTTAACCATTATTCTAACTTAGCTCTTGTTCTGCCATGTGTCTGAATCATTCATGACACAGTGGTAGACACAGCACGTCATGGATTTATCACACAAATCCACTAAGAAGGGCTGCACAACATATTGTTTGTAGGGATGTCTCTATAGATTATATTTGTTATCAAGTATTTTCTGATTATTTTGATGAATAATCAAGTAATCAGTGTGTTTGTTCATTTGATGCCAAAAAATAAAGATGAGCTTAAGTGAACAATAACACGCTATGCAGAACCCTTCAAAGAAACCATAATACTTTGCTGAGAAAGAAAAAAGTCTTGAAAAAATAAACATCTGCATAAAAATGGTAAAATATAAAAAAAAACATTTGCATATAAAATGCATAGAAATGTGCATGCAAATCAGGCTCTGTTACTTTGCCCTTGTGATTTGTGTATTCTTGTGAATTCAAAATATTTATTGTCTGAGTATCTGTTGGTCAGCATAGTCAATTCAATGTTTTCTAAATAATTCTGCCAGTTTAAGAAATTTTAAGATGAACTTGTTGCGGCCAGGCATATCATTATGTAGCAGTATTTAATGCAGATACACTTTTTTACAAGCGCCACCTTTATGATAATGCTGATTTCAACAAGTGCCTCTATGTTAACTATGTTAACTATGTTAGTGTTAAGTTAGTGCCGGTGTGAAGCCCAATCTCACATCCCTGTCCTGATTTCACTTCCCAAGGACCCTTGGCCAGATTTAGCAAGTTAGCGTGTTTTAAGCATCATACAAGCCAGTACCATTAACTGTAAAACGTGTCGCTATTTTAATATATTTAAGTCTATAAAAAGTCAGGCACATACATAACTACCTATGACTTTTGAGGTTCCTCCTAGAATTGTTGATTAATGGCTGTGATATGTGTGATTCAATTTTACTTCCCCTGTATTTGTACTTCACGGTATTGCAAATAGATACAGGGGAAGTAAAATTAGGACAGGGATGTGAGATTGGGCAGCACACTGGCTCTACTTAAACACAGACATATAAAGCATATGTAACTGAGAACAAACATAACAATGTGTCCTTTTGTTTACTTTGCATGTGGCAGTTTTAGAGTGAATCCTTAAGTAAAGCCTAGCTTAAATTTATTGGAGAAGCCTGTTAGTCAGTTAGTTAACTGCAGAGCTGTTCAAACTAGATCTACTTAAACAAAACTTTTTACTTCATATATGCGCACTTTGCTCACATATGTATTCTATATGGTGTTTGGATAAATCTAACAATTCATCCAAACTAAAAATGTGTTAAACTCTGGTCCTGCAGCCTATTTTTAACCATCCTTCTTTAGTTTAGTGCTGAAGCTACAAGGCTATTGTTGCTGACAAACACTAGAAGCCAATAGTCACCCAAATCTTTGCTGTAAATACATCTCCAAAACTTCTCTCAACCCACTCAAACCACATCCAGCTCTTTATCAAGGATGTGCAGACTTGTCCATGTGATTTAGGACTTGTGTCTTACAGTGAACTATAAAAATTATTTAGCATAATCAGCATCAATTTTAGACAACAGATTTTGTGCCAAATTCTCCCCACAGAATCCGAATCTGCTTCATCAAGACATATGGACGTTAGATTACAAAGATAATGAAGATTTGAATGTGTTTTGAGTTCTCTTAGCTCTAGTGCTAAAGTGAAAAAGTAAAGAAACATGTCTTGGCTGATTGACCAAATATTGGGTAAGTGGAAAATTATGTACATTTGATGATTCGCTGATAATTCCTTTAATGTATATACCTGGACAGTAAGTGCTCGGCTCTCAATCTCTTCAGTGCAACGCTGTACAATAAATGGCACATCCTGTGGCTGCTCTCTGGGCAGCTGAGAAAACTCCACTCCAAATAGAATCCCCCGCCTGTGCTCACACTCTGTCTGGCAAAGATCCAGGCACTTCCTGTGCAGAGCAAGGCCACACTATAGAGAGGAAAGACAGATCACCCCAATATAAACTGGCAAGAATGTCTAAAAAAGTATGAGAGGATGCAAAACGGATGAAGTTTCCTTTTTATAACATGAGAAGGCAAGTGCTCTTTGCAAGATATTCCCCTGACAAAAAGCTTTGATTAACTGCAACTTTTACAGTATGTAATCATCTATGTTTATGTACGGTATTTATTTTATCCTAATACAGTAAGAAAGGTGTTTATACCAACTAGTTATTAATGGATACTCTTCTTTTTTAAATGAAAAACGTCTCTGTTGTCCATTTCCTTCTCTCACCTCCTCACACTCGATGCCATTGACCAGAATGTAGTTTTCACATTGTTTGCATTTGGACATTTTGCTCTTCATTTTCCTGAGCCGGTGAGTCAGGGCAGCACGGGAGGTGGTGCGCACTTTGCAGTAGCCACCATTGCTGTCATTTAAAGCATCGCCACACTCTAGGAGGAGCAAAATCAGCATAATCACCATCATGATTTTACACTTTAGAGTCACAATTGTGAGAGGAAAATGCTGGGGTGGTGTATTATGGGTCATCTTTTCTCACCAGCTTCGGTGCTAATGTCTCTCTCATCCAGGTCATCTGAGGACATGGTTCCAGTGGAGGGGGCTTTGGGTAGCTTGCGATTCCCATGGGCTTCAGAAAAGACCAAAATTAGTCAACAGCAAGCAAATATCACCATATAAACTTACATGATGTAGGAGAGTGAAAGTAATTAATCTCACCTGGACTGGAGAGAGATTCAAGGCTCCCTCCCATACTCTCACTGTCACTGCAGCCGATGCGCCCTGTTCATCAACAGGTCATGTATAAACATTCATATGTAAATTCTGTTCTTTTCAGAGCAGAAACACTCAAGCCCAGATTATATCCAGTGTTCAGAGAATAATAGTACAACTACACATTTTGTAACAGTCATAAACATGATACCATTCAATGCACAAAAAAGTTAGCAGTGGTGGTAGCACGTACGTCCATCACTAATGTTGCTTCCACGTCTTGTGTCATCAGGAAGGGGAAATGTGTCTTGCAGAGCCATCAAGGGATTACTAGTTTTACGTCGGCCCGTAGGAGAACTCCTGTAAAGGAACCAAAGCAAGTAGCAGCTTTAAAGTCCCGATAAACATACTCAAATATTTCTTCATCAAGTTAGTAATGCTCAGTATTATGTAGCCTCTTCTGCAAGCTCCTGAGTGCTAATTCTAGTGCCCAAGTTTTCATATTTATAGATATGCTACGCCATACTGTACAGTTTCTCAGAGGTATCCCGGGCATAGTTACTGTTGCTAGGCTGTGAGGGACCAACTGGGTGAACTAATTTGCTAAAACGCTATATAGTCCAGGTCTAGGCTTTTTAATACTGTTAACAAAATTAACCCATTTAGCAGACAAACTTTAACAGAACAACTTCTGCTGTCCACCATCATTCACACTTGCTCACCTCTTGCTTTGCGGGACAAACTCTTGGAAGGTGAAAGATTGCGGCGGCTGTTCACGGTTGCAGCGGCACTTTCTGAAGACGTATTGCAGATAGGGTTCACCAGGCTCACACGGCCTGCAGGTCAGTTCCAAGTTGTGGTAGCCAAGAGGAAGCGCCTCTGTCTGCTGTCTCTGATAGTAGAACATGTTCACTGTCACCTGGGTAGAGGAACAGCAATATTTTTTTGTGTATATAGCACTTTCCATTTTAGTTACAAAATCTCAAAGTGGATTGCAGAGGAATATAAGATAGAAAGATAAAAAAAAAATGGGTCACTTAATGGCATATCACAGTAGAGTACACCGTAGCCTATATTTACAGCAAACTAAACAGAATGTCTGCAGGGATCACAGTTCAGTAACCATTACATAAACATTGTATCTATCTGAAGACTATGTAATGCTTAAAACGTTTACTTTTTCTTCTATAATCTCACCTCTTTCAGCACAGTATCTCCTTGGCAGATGAGTTTGCGAGTGTGCACAATGATCCTCTCCTTCACTTTCTCCAGCCCTTCCTGGTGGACCTTGGCATCGTGCACACACTGTCTGTACAACGTCTCAGCCTCTGCGACCTAAGCAACAATGAAATAGTTTATAAGATGTTAATAATCTTTTATGTAGTTAGCGTCCAGTGTCTCCCAGTTTTAGTACTGGGTACCACTAACTTAATAGTTTACAGTTTTTCATAATATATCTAATTATGCTCTAAAGGGTTAAATCAGGTCATTAGAAAAAAGAAGACATGAAACTGGACTGTGGTAAAGCTGTCCCCTCTGAATCAACTAATTAGTCATAGCATTTGTGGCTAACAAAGATTCTGTCAGTCGACTGTCAAGAAAACACATACTTACTGTTTACTTTTTTCTTTAAGCGCAAATGTACTTATTCTGAGAGATATATTCCAAAAAATATACATATTTATGCAAATGGACCATTTAGCTAGTGAGACTCTATGTAATATTAAGTTTCAACATGTTTATTTTTCAAAAAGATTTGTGGCCATATGTTAACATGTTGTTCTCTTTGTTACTCTGTTAATTAAAAAATGTAAGACGTGTAAGAAAAACATTCTCAGTAACAAATACACTCATTGGCCGCTTTATTACAAACACCATTCTAATACTGGGTTCATGGAACCACTTTGAGATGACTTATGCTTTGTGATAAGGTGCATTATCATGCTGGAAAAAGATCTTAGAAGATGTGTAAATTGTGGCCACAAAACGGGACTCACATGACCAGCAGCAATACTCAGTCTGTGGCACTGAAACAATGCTTGATTGGTTATAGGGGGCTGAAAAACATTTCCCACAGCATTACACCATCACCACCACCAGCTTGACAAGACAGGTTGGGTCTGTGAATTCATGCTGTTTAAGCCAAATTCTGACAGCATCATCTGCATGTTGGAGTCGAAATCAAGTTGCATCGGACAAGGAGATGTTTGTGCCAGTAGTGGAAGCCAGTGTGCTCTTCTGTTGTTGTAGCCCATCCACCTCAAGGTTTGACATGTTCAGAGATGCTTTTGTAAAGAGTGGTTATTCCATGTACTGTAGCCTTCCTGTCAGCTTTAACAAGTCTAGTCATTCTTCTCTGACCTCTCTCATCGACAAGAACTGACACTCTCTGGATGATGCTTGTTTTTTGCATCGTTCTATGCAAACTCTGGAGAAAATCTCAGGAGATGAGCGGTCTATGCAATACTCAAACTACCTCATCTGGCAGCACTAACCAGGGGACATTCAAAGTCACCTGGATCACATTTTTTGACCATTCTGATGTTTGATGTGAACATTAACTGAAGCTCTTGACCCCTTTCTATGTGAGATTATGATCTGTGCTATTGCAACACGATTGATTAATTGGATAATTGCATGAATGAACAAGTGTTTCTAGAGGTGTAATCTGAATATGTATCAATCACAGCTTCCACTTAAGGTGTTCAGTTTGGCATAGTCCAATATTTTTAATCCTATTTATGTATTAACCTTTTTTTTTTTTCAGGGAGAGGGGTGACTACTGCCCAAAACATAGTGGAAAATCAGCCCTTTTGGTCAACCAAGAAAGCCTTAGCTGGACACAACCTTAGGCTGTGGTTCTGCAAGATTCTAATAGACTTGTGCATTAGATCATTTTCTGTAACAAAGTGAATTTTTTAAGTGTAGTCATGATTCTATTCTCTGTCCTATAAGTGTAATAAGTATGAGCAGCAAACGCTTGCCTTGGTTTGAGCATCATCTCGAGACTTCCTCCTCTTGTCAAGGGTCTTTGAACCTCCAGCCTCTTCCATTCCTTTAGCAGTCATGGCTTTGGCCTTCTCCAGCTCCTCACAGCGCTGCATGTACTGCTGCCGAGCTCGCTTTAGCGCTGCAACAGTTTCATTCTACAGCGCACAGACACAACACTCATAATAGTATGTATTCAGCTTGTTGGCTGTGGCAAATCCTGAGCTATTCATGTATGTATATTATGTATGTATACTGACCATTCTCCTCTGCTCCCTCGTCCATTGCTCCTTGAACTCCCGACGCCACTTGTCAATCTCATTGCGCTTGGCTGACAAAGCCTTAAGGAGAAAGCAGTGAATGGAACAACAGTGCAACTTCATTCACTCAATCATTCAGTCAATTTCAACTTATTCTTTAGCGTAAAGCCCTAATCCACTAGTCAAGTGTTGCAGGAACGCCGTAGCTGTATATGGATGTGCAACGAATTTACAAAGGACAAAGCAGAGAGAACTATTATACACTTTAAATATAGGTTCACTCTCACATTCAGAATACAGGCTAATCAAAAACAGTGAAATTCTTATAGTACAGCAGCATTTTCCTTTGTGATTTGATGGCATCTAAAATCCTCTGTTGTTCCAGTACTCAAAACTGACTTTTGCGGCTGCAGTTATTGCTGCCTGGAACTCTAATCAGCTATGATCTGATGGAGTACCTGGTAGCAGCGCTGCTGGAGCATTTCAGTGGTCTGTTTGGCTGTGTTGCTGGTTTTAATGTCCTGCTCCAGGGCCATGGTGTAAATATACTGCAGGGGCATCAGTTCCTACACACAAACACATCAGGCAGGATGTACCAAACACTGAAAAGCATCATTTTTACATGTGAGACACTAAGATGTTTGAATGTTTCTTCATATTCTTATTTCAGTACATGTTGAGTATACCTGTACCACATACCTGTTGAGCAACACAGGACCTTGTCGTGTCTGCTGCTTTCATGATATTCTTGGCAAACTCTTGCTCTACAAAGAAACCAAGATCAGATGATGAAAGAGCCGTAAGTATAAGTGAAGTAGTGTACAGTACTTCGTGAAAGTCAGATACCACACTTCATTTTTTTAATTTTCTCTCCAAAGTGCACATTATTCATTTATTAGAAGATTTTTCTAAGGAGATATGGGATGATCCACTTGCATAAGTAAGGGGAATGTCAAAGGAAAATAAGTTTCCAAAACTCGAGTTAAAGATTTATTTTAAAGATACAGTAAAAATGGGACTCGATGGAAATGGGAAATAGAAAACAAATATAAAATAATCCACTTGCTTGAGAAAGGGAAAAGTCAAAGGGAAATAAATTAAAAAAAACAAGAGTTAGGAGAAAATGGGTCTCCTAACAACCTTGCAAGCCCTGGTAGACCACCAAAACTGTCTCCAACATATAGACAGAACGTAAAACTTTTATCTTTGAGAGAGAGGAGAAAATCAAGCTCCACTCTTGATTCAAATCTGAAAAAATCCACAGGTGTTTCTGTCCATTCTTCCACTGTGAGAAGACAACTCAACACTATGGGTTTGAAAGGATGTGTAGCTGTCAAGAAGCCCTCACTGAAAAAAAGGAAATACACAAAAAGAAAAATAAAATAAGCTGCTGGTTTTCTCAGGACAGTGGACTGGCCACCCCAGAGTCCAGACATCAATCATCACACATAACCCATTCAATCATCATTAAATGGGTTTTTTGGATTGCTTGGATCATGATAAGCAGAAAATACAACCAACTTCTAAAACTGAACTTTGGAGGTATGGAAAAATATCCCTGCAGATTTCTTTGAGAAAGTCACATTGGTCCTTGGTATATTTGGATAGGTTTAATACAAAACAAAGGTACCTAAAATAAAATATGAGTGACTGAAAGAAGTGGAGTAAGTGGCGTATTCCTCTCGAAATATCAATATGACATGACTGGGTGCCTGAGTTAAATTAAATGGACCAGAACCCACTCAGCACATTGCATAATGGGCCATACGGCTGCACTGGAAAAACAAAATAATATTGAATCTCTAGCAAAGTGACTAGCTGGCACCAGCTTCATGCTGGTAGTACTATATGACCCTGTATCTTCTTTTACCTTAGAAGCTCGAATGGTAAGCATCAATCTAAATAAACAACATGTCCAAAAGTATCCAGACACCCCTTGTCTTTAGTGAATTCAAATACTTTAAGATTCACCCTGTGGTGACACACACAAGTACACACTTAGCTTTGTATAATCCATAGAAAAGGACTAATAATAGAATGGGATGCTCTGGAGCAGAAGGTCACCATGCCCAATGCCAAGTTTGGGCTAGAGGGGTATAAAGCCCCCAGCACTGGGGTATGGAGCAATAGAACTGCATTCTCTGGGGTGATGATCCTCCACTCAATACCTTAAGGATGAGTTGGAATGATCCAGAACTAATCATCCAACATCAGTAGCTGATCTCACTGTTGCTCTTGTGGCTGAATGCAATCAGGACCTCAAAGCAATGCTGCAACATCTAGTTTAAAGCCTTCCCAGAAGAGTAGAGGCTGTTACTGCAGCAAATAGGGGACAAACAACTTATTACTACCAATCATTTCATAAGAAACAATGGACAAACAGGTATCTACAAACTTTTGAACATATATTGTATATCAGGAGTCTCAGATCACCTGGTGGCCACCAGCCAGTTGATGTTTTCCATTTTTTTTCATTATGAATCTTAACTATATAACATAAACACTCATTTAATTGTCTCTTACTCAATGTGTATTACCAATTCTAACTACACCAACAACAACTACTACTATAATTATTATGATTATTATTAGTAGTAGTAGTACTAGTAATAGTAGTAGTAGTTGTAGTAGAAGCAGTGCTATAAATAGTGTTATAAATACTTTAGCTTTCATTTAAATCAAGTAAACCTCTTAATGGCTTAATTCTGGCTCGCTGTGCTTTATGTTGAGTGACCAAATCTGCCTGCCAGAAGTTGTGAAGCCCCTAAGGTGACATTGTGATTATTTGGTGGTGACAAATTAATATATTGAGGCCACGAATTCACATACTGAGGCTTCCGTAAGATATATAAAAATATAGCTGCAGAAAAAAGATTTGTGTGCCAGGTTTAAGGATAAATTGTGATTGGGCTTTTGAAGCTGTCTTGTGAGCAGGATGTAGCCCACAAGACCACTGCTGTATATGCAATTGCATATCATTTTTCATGCGACCCTCATAATGCACAACACTGCCCAATTTCAGTTAAATTTGGACTAAAATTAAGCTGTTTTTTTCAACATGTTTGGCATGGTTGGAGATATGTAATGATTTTGGCAGGCAGTTTGCTTGGTGCTAACTGGTGCAATATGAGCTTCCTTTACTTGTTAGCTACACTAGCCTTGTAGCTCGAGTGCAAACCAAAATAAAAAGCATATCTCAGACATCAAATGTGTTTTGGCTGGCTACATTTGGTTTGAGGGATAAAGTGTAACTTTGTTGTTGAACTATTAATTTAAGGAAGATAATTAATTTAAAGACAGTTAAGACCCAAACGTTTCATTTTATAATAGAAACGCCTGTAAGGTTACAGAGAAACTAGTGCTGTGGGCATCTGGGCATGGTGTTGCCAGGTTAATCCTGTGTCAACTTTTTTCATCAGTCTCTCAGCCTTCCTGACATGGCCTTGTAATCTGGATTATAGTCCTAACCCAATGGGGAGATGCCAGGCCGGCAGCACTGTCGCTGTCGTTTTGATTAGCTTACACACAGAACAAATGGGGTTTGTGATTCAGCACCAGTTCATATGCCAATATTTGTCACTACTCATCATGCCCCAGACTGATATTGTCCTCATGTCAAAATAGGAGTTGTTAATACTGCTACTACTACTACTAGTACTACTAATAATGATAATAATAATAATAATAATAATAATAATATTAACAACAACAACATTAATAATTGATTTCCCCCATTTAAATTAGATCATTCATCCCTAAATAAACAAATCCCAACCAGCTCTGTTGAAATGGATTTCACCACAGCGCTTTCATATTGTTTCCTTGCAATATCAATACTTTGCCACTAGATGGTGTTGTGAATGACACCCACAAGTCTAATGGTACAGGCTCTTTAAAAAAACTGAATGTCTATAATTGTACTATCAAACACCATCTACAGCAAGTACGTCAATGATCTGTGTTTACATTTAAGCCCTTTCGAGGAATGTCTTGTTCTTTTAATCTTGCTCCTCCAGACAAAAACTGGTTAGATGAATACTGATAGTACTGCAATGTGAAGTGAAATAAATGTAATTTTGTGACATTGAAGTCATAATTAACACAGAAATGTCTGCCTAGAAAGAGGTAGAAAGAAAAACAACAGTGATATTCAGTGTAGCTCGCAGGATCACTGGTGAGAATTAGCTTCTAGCTAGTATGAAGGCTATGAACTTGATTTGATCCAAAAAGTAGAGATGGCATATCAGCAATAACAGATGTCAATATCAGATCAATGTCAGCAAAAAAATACTGGATCAAATATTGGACATTAAAAAAAAGAATCAGATCCAATAACAAATCTATGCTAAGTTTGAATACTCCTGGTCAAATTTCATTACATTTTTTTTTTTTTTTCAAACATTTTTCTCTACAATTTCTATTTATTGCCAGGTTTAAAATATTGGAAAAAAATATTTAAAAAATAAAATTTTTATGTTTTACTTTTTTCCCCAACATGTAAAATTCAGTAGTTGTGGATTAAATATGTAGAGCAGGGGTTTCCAACCTTTTGAAAATCATGGCCCACACAACTGATCACTAAAGCTTTCATTGCCCACAAGAAGATTTAACGAAAATTTCATTTGATTCAGTCTTGGTGGAATTGAACTGAATATAGCCTAGAAAATTTCACTTCACTGTATAATCGTGCAACATAACAAACACCAAAAGAAAATCTTAAAATGTTCTGTTTATATCCACTCATCCATGATGGTTAATTCCATATAATCAAAAAAAGCAAAATTTTATATTCACTATCACTGAAAATATAACATTGGTCATGCATTCTGCCAGAGGAGTCACTGGGCTAAACTAAAATATTTGGGTATTTTGTGTTTTATTTTTGCAAATAATTATCCCCACAAAAATACTTGCCCTATTTAAAACAAGTAATTTAGTTAAATGTCTAAATGTCTATATTGTAATGACATTTTGTGGTAGGAAGACTGCCATCAGCCCCCTCACAATGCCCACCGGGGACCACAGCCCACAGCCCACAGGCTGAAAACCTCTGCTGTAGAGGAAATGTTTTTAGTTTCCCTTTGAAAATGAATGAAATCTGTCATTTGACCAGGCCACCAAAACGTTTGCATATGACTGCACATACTGCACAGATGACACAGTCACATTGTACGATGTGATGTTAGTTGTGTTATTTCTTTGAGTGTTCACGTTGTTTGAGCATCATAGCCTACCATTAGGAGATGATCTTCAGAAAATGTTACCACTTAAAAATAAAACTACCCTTATAAAGTGTTCATAAGTTGTTCATGAGTTTACTTATTGTTATTATTTTGGTCATGAAGACCTTGAAGTCATTAATAAGCAGATACAACACATAAATACAAAGGGCAACAGCGACCTATTGTTTGCCTAATAGTGAAATTCACATTCATTCATACAGTTAAACCTCAGATTTTGATGTTTACTGATCTTACTTTATCTTCTTCATCAGTCAGTATTACACCTGTCAGCTTCACCACATATTCATGTTCATTAGATATTAATACTATATTAATGATTTTTAAAGTATTTATGAGCCAACTAATAACCACTAACATACTAATTTTAAACCATTTATAAAAGCGTAGTCTTATTCTAAAGTGATACCAAAAAAATGAAAGCTTAGTAGTTTTCAAAGAGGTAATAATCAGATTTGTATCAGTATCAGAACAAAACAGTGTTATCATCCCATCTACCAAAAAGTCTTATTATCCATGGCCAATAATAAAAACAAGCAGTTCACACTCACCCAGGCTGATTCTCTTGTCCATCCACGTGAGGAGGTCCTTGGCATAGCGGCACCACATTTTGGCATACTGCAGTGCGACCTCCACGCCACCCTCATTGCGACACATGGCGAGGTCAGCTTCCTGGGCTGAGAGCGAATACATCAGCATCACTAAGACCTGTGTGTTACACCCAGCTCACCCTAACCAGCACCCTGTCCAATGAGTAATCCTAAACTCATGACCGCTCCTTCCAACAGTGAAAACTGCCATTAACTGAGAGTTATGATACTACACATAATGGGAAAAAAGCAGTCCATTTTATCATCCAGTGCTGAATGCTGAAAGATGAAGAAGAAACAAAGTATTCATTCCCAGCTTCTGAATAACAGAACAGTCTTCAGTCCATTCTGGTATAACTTTGCATTTCAACTGTCATTAAAGCTTAGACAAAGGATCCAAACAACCGAGGCAATAAATGCAAAGCATTCCCAGGATTCGACGTCCGTGTGAAATCTCTGTGTCAGAAACCACAGATCCTTTACCGCATGAACTGTGTGTGTGTGGGGCTGCTGGATTGAGAGGCTGGCCAGGGGATTCCTCCCAGGCTTTGACCACACCCTTGGCCCCACCCTAACTCCTCCCACTCCATCTAGTCAGATTCACAAGCTAATCACAGCAGACATGAATTCCACACTGTAAAAAATTGCTATAAATTTACACTAAATCTACTGTATCCCTTGAAAAGGAATTCCACTAATTTCATAGGGAATTCCATAGTTTGGTGGTTAAGAAGAACTTACTGACTCAGAGGCAGTGATATGAACCTGCCATTGTGGTTTGTGATGAACACAAATATGTGTTTTATTTACTATTCAGAATGACCAGTGAATGTACATGTGTCTTCTAAGTTTTTATAATGTTGATTATGCTAAAATAGTGCAAAATTATAAAAAAATGTTTTTCTTCGGGGACTATTATGTCTTATATTTGTATGTAAAAATATATTCAAAGCTCTACTTAAAGCTGGATTACTTTTACCAGAGGATAATCTGCAATGTCTGTAGTTTTTAGGCCTAACAGCTAAAATGGAGCTTGATTTGATTCCTTAATCCTCAGGTTTAAGATAAGACTACTGAAATCCACAACAATTCAGGGTATATTCCCTTCCATACACTATGATTATTTAACCTCATTTTGAACAGGTATCATCTCACACTGAAACGGGATGTAAAGTCTCCTCCCTGGTCCAGTGTTGTGCTTTTTGTGCCATATTTGCCATTTAGCCACACAGCATGTTGTTATTTGGAAGTGTGACACCTGTCACATAATGCTGACATTAGCCTCTGCACAATGATGTTTTGATCCGGTCTATTTGGATTAATTTGGAGAAATTACACAGATCCTTTATCCCACATGAACAATCACACGCAAATTACATTACTGGACCTCCTCTGGTAAAACTAGTCCAGCTCAAATAGGGCTTTAGGCCAAAACTTTGTCTCATAACAACTTATTGTCTTACAATGTCTCATTTATAACTATTTAGTGTAATAACTTTCTATGAGGCAATTTGTAGAGGTGTTAAACCTTTTGGACTTGACAAGTTTCTCTATAAGGAAGCTTTTCACATCAAACCACTCACTGACTTTTTTCACATCTTAGCCATTGAACTATGTAGAAAGTCTGAAAAAATTGGCAGAATTCCCCTTCAACTTCTGCAAATAAAAATAGCAGTAATAATGTGTATATTTGGAATTGAGCAATGTGCTATAATTGTGAATTACAGTATCAGCACTGTAAATGAAAAGCAACTGTCAGTAAATTACTGTCATTTTACAGCTTATTTTTTTTTACAGTGCACTACAATTATTTCACACAATTCTCTCTCTAAACTTCTGTTAACCTCACAATTATGAGGTTCACTCCATTAAAATTAGTTTCAGTCTTTCTCTTATGACCTGTTTCTCCCATCATCTTCTCCTTTTCTATTCTCTGTAACCCACCCACACTGTTTCACCCACCACCTTCACCACCTTTTACTCTTCCTCTTCGCTCACTGCGGGGCTCGCTAAAATTGTAATCATCGTTAGGTTTTTTTTTTGTTGTTCCTCAGAACTTGTACTTCATTAAAAAGGCCTGGTGTGGTTTCAGTAGAATTAACAGGAAAACCCAGTCATAGATTTAAGAGGTTTAGGTAAGGTTAAGGTAAGATAAGATTAAGGTGCAATAAGATAAAAAGGTCAGAGAAATAATAGTAAGCACTCTTTTTCTCTTCTTCTTGCAGGACAGAACCATAGCAGTCGGAACACAGTTTGTAATAGTGCTCTTGTGCAGAGCACATAAAAGAGCATTACAGTCATCTAGTCTTAAAGTGACAAATACACGGCCAACTTTCTTGCAGTTTGCAGGGATAGGATGTTCCGGACCTTTGCAGTATTGAAGATGAAAGTAGCTGTTTTGAGTTTGGCACTAATGTGGTTCTTAAAACGGAGCTCATTATCAAAAATGACTTGAATGAATGTCAAAAATGACATTCTTGACATACTGTTTAGCCTCCAAGTTCATAGGATCTAGCAGGCCCTTTTCAAATGTTCAAAACTGTCAAGGATGTTTGAAAGTAGGGTAAACTAAGCAGACTGCCTGTGATAATGTAAAACGCTGCGAGCTTGTTATCTACTGCAGGTTGTAGCTCTCTCCTGGGTTAAAAACACTAAAGCTGTAGCCTAGTTTGTTAGTGATAGCTAATGAGTTTAGGAGGTCCAGCAGATTTATTTACATCATTAACTCCTTACATGGCCAGGGCCCACTCGCAGGCCCAAAGTTTTATTACACACTTCTATAACTAAGAATAGCTCAGGCAGTTTGCACTGAAGTCTCCGTAGTTACTGGGTAATAAGCCTTAGTATGTAATAAGTCAGGGATTTTAAGGGGTTGAACCTAGAAAAAAGTTTGGCCTGAAAGTCCAGTTTTGACAAAGCATATAGTAGATTTTGCTGTACAGCATATGCATGCTATATGTGTTTCAGCTGTGTTTAAGGTTAGAATGTTTAATGTTTTGCAAATTGAAAACCCTTCAACTGCACATTCCTACTTCATGCAAATAATTCGTATAAAACACTAATGTTGGGTCAGGTTGTAACTCAGTTATCTTTAATTGAGAGCATTTGTCTTTAGATGACACAATAAAAAACAGAGCAGAGATCTGCACTTTTCTGTCCACCATTCATCTTCTGGTCTGCTTCTTTCAGGACTGGGGTACAGCTCTTTGTGCATGGGGGAAGGGCTAATCCTAAGGGGTCCAGACCGTGGAGTAACAGGCTTTAGATTTTGCTGAGGTTTATCAGCTAATTCAGTAATGCTGCCTCTTTCCATAGAACTAACAAGGAAAAGGGCTCGGTAACCCTCAACTTATGTCTCTCTTGATCACTATCTCTCTCACTCTCATTCACTCTCTCTCTTTATCTCCTTATCTCCACACCTCAGTATGTATCTTCCTCTTCTGCTAGCAGTATACGAACACTGCTCTAACAAAAGATTGTACCTCCAAAATGGTGACTTTACAGGAAAAGTGAAAACGTCAACTCGAATTTAAGTTAATATAATGAAATTTTCTTCCAAGAAATTAAACCATTTAGACAATTTTGAAAGTCTGTCCTTCAGGACACGAAGTGCAGCTGCTATTGTCGAATGATGTCAATATTAGTCATAATATTGATATGACAGTGATGAGATGTTTAGCCCTTTAAACTGCATGCTTATTATTAGGCAAGAGTGAAATTATTTCAATGCCATATATGGAAATTGTATCACCAGTACTCCCCTTAGTCTGTTCTGAAGGTCTCTCATTTGCTATTTTTTTACTGTTAATGACCAAAACCAGTCCAGTCCAGTCACTTGGATACATCTTATTAGAATAAAGCAGGAGGGCGGGGGCGTATGATATGGGCACACTCATATTTAAATGACTAGGCTTTTTTCTGAAATCACTAATACATTCAAAGGACTCTTTTTTGGGCTTATTTTGTGTGGAGGCAGTCAAAAAAATAGCAAAATAATGACTGACATGCCTCTCATACGATCACAATTGTCTTTGAATGCTAAATCTTCCACCAAGCAAAAGGTGGTACTGAAGAATGTGTAATGCCTGACACACACTGTTCAGATCATCTGGAAAGTAATGTTGTTTTTATTCATTCCTGAAGCTGAAATACCACATTCACAGCTCAATGTTAAAGCTGTTAACAGCCAGACTTATGCTGGCTCTAAGGGAAGCTAAACTTCGTCTGGGCTACTGTATTTCCTAAAAAATATGATGTCTTATAAATAATGTTACAGAGAAATGTTAAGATCATTGAGCTAACTAGTTAGCTTTTCTTAACGTAGCTGCTGAGAGTTAGATAAATCAGTCAGATTAAACAAGACTTTGTAGTGTTCACATTTATGATTGGAAACACTGTGCACTTGAACGCAAGTGATTCATTGTATTGTTTCATTAAAGCTTGTTAAGTCCTCCTCAGCACTGACTGGCTCCAGTGTTAGCTTTAGTATTAGCTCATCTGAAGAGGTAGCTTCAGTCACTTAAACTTCCTCCCATATCAGACATGAAAACTACTGCTTTAAGGCCTTTCTTCCAGTCTTTTTTCAACTTGGCCTCCCCCACTTTTACTCACTCGGATGTGCGTCACACCTACGTTACACAAATAGTGAGGAACATTTGCCCTCAGCAGGTTAGCTCCAGTTAGCTAACCGGCTAGCCATGCAAACTTTTCAAAGCAGAATGTTTTTAAGAAGTCTGAGCATAATGTACAGAATGTATGTGAGAAATTGCTCACACTGCCTTTAAACGTGGAGTAGAACCGTGCCGAAATGCCTTATTTATGTTCTTGTTAGCCATGTAGGCTTTAGTATGCTAATGAACCCACTAGCAGAGGAAAACGATGAAGGTATCAACAGTCATGTATAACAGATGAAGTAGTTTGTAACTTAGAGCCCAGCAAATCTAATGTTATAGTGTTGAAATGTTAGACATTTTAAAGTGGTTTATTGCTATACCTCATAAACAGCTTCACCATTATTATCAGCATTATTATCAGCTAATTCCCTTCACTTGAGCTGATAAAGTAACAGAACAGCCCTTACGATGGCG